TTGGGAAAAACTAGGGGAAATTCTGCTTTGGTCTAAGACATACTACAAAAATGTTCACACTTTTCGCTCAACAAGCTGATTGTGCAGGCGAAGTAAGGCCTACCAATGTGTCGTCCTCGAGGTGCTCCAGCCTTCTCAGGACACCTTACGAGAAAGGTGCACCGACATTAAGGTGCAGCGGTAGGCCCTCCTCCGCCCACATGGTTCGATCATACCGTGCTTTTGATTGGTAGCTGGTTCCCAGCTCAGTTCTCTGTTCACGCTACTTGCGGCGGTAGGCTCGTCTCCGCCCACATGGTTTTCAAGTGGTTACGATTCTCGTACACTCAGTACACTACCGTAAAGGGCTAGACTCCCGAAACGGCTAGCTTCCCACATCTCACACCTCTAACATAATGGATCAGAAGCGTTGAGCTCTTCTGGGAAATGGAAACTATTCTCGTGCTTTTGCTTCGTTGCTATTTAAACATGGCTCGAAATTAGCTTTTTTTTACTACAGAACCTTTTTACCTGGGCGCGCAGAAAGCGCTCCTGTCCAGAATGTGAGACCCGTTCTGGTCAAAATCCAATCATAGAAATGGTTGGAGACAGGGAACATCATCAAGACCCATCAGGGAGGTCATAGTTGACCGCTAGGAAAGGGGAGGGGTCGTAAATGTAGGGTCGGTGAGCATCGAACAGCGCGAAAGTGTCATGGTTAAATGCGGAGGGCTGTAGAGAATCCACCCCTATCTAATCCTACTCGCCAGGCCAACACTTATTGTCAGAGCCGAAGGGGGGGGGGGTTGCACTGGGACGTCCTATTGGAGGGGAGTTCGTACTGACACCGACATTTCACATAACACGATGCTCTACCCTGGTTAAGATGACCAGTGTTTGGCAGAAAACATTGAATACCTTAAGGAACTAACCACATTTGGGCATTCGTTTTCGCTAATGAAAAGGTCCGTGAGGTCGCGCATTTCCTTGCGTGTCTCATCATAGACGTTGAAAGGTGGTGGAGTGTGAGTAACGTACATGGTGAAGGTGAACAGGAAAATTAAGTAGATGCAAAGAGCTGAAATAGCAGGTTCAAAAGAGTCCCTTAATTATGGGGACCATTTCTCACCGAAGTAATAGACGTATCGTCCAAGGCTGTTCCACTTATGTTTCAAAAGCGCTTGCACTAACGGATGTGATAGCAAAATTTCTGACTGTGCCTGAAAAAGGAAATGATAGATGGTAAAGTGAAGATTGCCCAAAAATTCTCATAGGGGTGTGAATGTAGTGCCGACCATAATTTTTAGAGGATGGTTTTTGTAGACGACATCATAATCGTCCGAATAGGCTTTGGCACCTTGTTTGAGGGTCCCGTCATCTTCGTAAGGGTTCACCGTTGATAGCAGTTCTGGAGAACAATTGTAAAAGTAGTTGTTAGTAGATGGATTACCTGATGAAATGCTAGCAGGCTTTCGAGAAACATTCACTAACCAGTTCCGTCCTTTGAAGGCATCATGTACGTGTCGTCAATCAGTGCAAAGTTATACTCGCGGAAAAAGTAGAAGTCGTCAGGACTGTCTCCGCGATCACTAAACTTTCAATAACCTAACCAGGCGCTTCACTTTGAGTGATCATACCCTACCCGCCTAAATCCACCATCACTCACCTGATACAATTGCTGAACACTATCTCAGCGATGTCTGGGAACTTCTCGATTAACTTCCTCAACGGCGTGACCCTTGAAAGGTTATGACGTCCAACCGGGAGTATATCAGTTGGAGACATGATATTCATCCAATCATCTGACTCAACCAAAGCTCGAGCCACCTCTCTGGAAGTGTTCATAGAATGATGTTCTTGGATGCCAAAAAAATGGCAAGTCGTTTAGAGAGAGAGCTTTCTGTCTGCTTTGACACTTCAGCTAGCTCCATAAGAATGTTCACTGTAGAGGAGGGCGCTGTTTGTCGACGGGGGGCATTTTGTACTATCATTGCTTCCTTAGTTCCGGTTTACATGTCTCACTCTGGCGAAACCTGTGAACTCTTGTGAAGCTGGAACAAGGTCGTCAAGCCATCATGTTAAAACCTGTCAACTCGAGAAGAGGCTGTCTAGATGGGTCGACACGTCGATGGGAAGTAGCAAAAGTGCATGCCCCCCTCACCGTCGACAAACTGTGCCTAGAGAGAGCATTGATTTTACGCGCCTGTGCAGCTGATACTCATTTTTCAACATGCATCGTCAAGACGTTGAAGGTTGGAAGAGACCCACAGAATGTATCGATGAGTAGTACGTGAGACAAATTTTGGCTAAGCTCATACGATGCTTTCTGGTTGAGATTGCGAGAGCGGTTAAACCGTTAGTAACGCTTCACAACAAATTGATCTCTCCTCTGGGAGGATGGCTGGGATGATATTCACCGAATGCATTAAAGACTAACTGTTACCTCATCTTGTTGTTGTGTTCTGATCCCTGCCAGGAATGAGGTGGTGAGGGGTTGGCAGCTGCCGTAGCTGCCCCTTTCTGTGGTCAAAAGTGCATGCAAAAGGGTTTGCAGGATAGTGGTACCGAGCGCCGTCTCTATAATACGCCCGCGCTGCCACACAGCCAGGCTTAATCTTAATCATGGCCAAACGCTGGCATATACGCAGGTGCTGAGCATTGAGGATAGCGCAGGCGACTTTCGGGTATCACTACCCTTCATCCCCTTCTCCGTGCACTCTAGGGCAGAGAATACGGCACTAAACAGCACCTATGGAGGCAATCACCTCGCACTTGGAAGAGATCGTCGTAGAGCATATATAAAGTCTGTTCTACCGACGACAACTCCATTTGCTTCAACACGAAAAATTGTAGCCATAGTTTTCCTTCAGCTATACTAGACCACTGGTGTGTTGGAATCGATTGATCACCTTTTTTTATCGACTGTCAATAGTGGAAAATATTAGAGTTTACGCATGTACTGTAAAAGTTAGAGATCACACCCAGGCCAACTAAATCCTTGCCTGTTCCTAACTGTACGAAATCACATCTTGCCGAGAGCTCACAGGTCTCACAAAGATGAGGGAATCATAGAAACCGGGAAACTAACGAGATCCCCCTCCCCCACCATCACGGCCTCAGAATGAACCGTCTTTAGGAAACTTGAACTGGTGCACTTTTTTAGCCGGCGCTGCAGTGGGAATTCGCAACATATAGAAGACATTGAGTTGTGAGGGTTCCCAAGGGATAGGAATGTTTGTATCTCTTGAAAATATTAGGTCATCCCATTCAAAAGTGCCGTGACATATAGAGGAATGGCAGAAAAGCAAAGGGGATAGAGCAGCGGGCTACTATACCATTTGGAGGCTAGTACCTTCAGCTGCAGCGGGCTACTATACCAC